TGAGGGTTTAGGGTTGAGGGTCAGGGTTCAGGGTTATGCTTGAGGTAAGCAGGGCAGCCGAAAGAGTGCAATAAGGGTACCGAGACGATGGGGATGTGGGTTGTTTTAGGGTGCTCACTTCGAATGATGGGATCCGAACGGATGTTGTCTGCTTTGCCGGGGTACAACTTCTGGGACTATATTTGCGCCATGACGACAATGACGGTTCCTACTTCCGTACTACTACCTGCATAAACCCGAAACCTCGTAACTCACGGTTTTGCGTTCACAGGACCTTTCTTCCGAAGCAGCAGGTGAAATCCTCGTGAGAGCCGCGGCTCAAGAGCTGCAACTTCGACTCCTGTTGCCTGCTTGCACCTTGGTTCGCTAAGGCTGTGTGCCTATGAGGGGAGATCGTCCTTGCAGATACCTCGACCACGCAAGACGTGATCCTCCCTGCGGATACCTTGAACACCCAAGTTGTTGTGGAAGTCGCCTTCCAGAACTTCCAGTTTGAACCACTTAACAAGGAAAGAAGGACGGTCGAGAGGCAGCGACGTCCTTGCTTCGATCTTGGACTTCTTTGAGTCGGCAGCAAGATGCCAGCTGAGACCATCCTGAGAACAGAAGACCCGGCAGTGGACTTGCTCCGGCATGTCCTTGTAGAAGAAGAGGCCCATGAGATACACGCACTCATAAGGCAGCATCCATGAAATTGAATCGGTCAGCGAGAAGGGCCTACGATTACTGAAGTACTCTTCCAGTGGCTCTTTGTTTCTCGCACAAAAATCCCAGCTCTTCGGTCCGAAAAGTACCTGCAGATAGTAACCAAAAAAGGGTGCTGCACACTCTTTGTAAGCCTCGAAAAGACCTTCGAAGACATCGCCCTGGTAAGCAGCCGCAGCTGTCCCCCCATACGTCGCCACACATCGCGCACTTTCATGGTCCAAGCGCTCCAAATGTCTCTCGATGACTGGCTGCAATGGCCAAGGCAATGCCTCTTCTTCACCAGCCTTCCTGCCAGAGCTCCACCCTTGCAGGACTAACCTGAGATCAGGATGGGTCATGCAGATCAGACCGGGCGCGAGAATCTCTTCCAGGAGCTCGGGGCTGATGTTCGGGCATTCTTTCAGCACATCTTGGGCGTTGGTCCAGATCTCCTCCAGCGCCAGTCTGCGCCAGTCCGCCAGCTGGAAGCGGGCGGCAGAGGCAAAGAGCCGGATAGCATTCTCCGGGTTCAGGCCTTCGGTGAAGGCCTCCGTGCAAAGCTCCTTGAGCCTTTGCACCTGGTATTTGTCCGCTAACGAGCAGACTTCCACCAGGTTTTCAAAAGGGCTCTCTACCACCCCGGAGTACAGAAAACGAAGGAAGATTTCCACTGCTCCGCTGGAGAAGTCTGTCATGACCACCCGGGCGTTTTGACCCTCCACAAATCCCTCAGAGTTGATCATCTTGTCAAAAACCACGGACCATCTGGCCAGCAGTTGGGACCACACTTTGAACTCGACTCGCTGGACTTCTGACCCGCCGCTATCACCAGCTTCCGGCGCTTCGACCACCACGGTGAAGTCGCCGCCGCGACCAAAGCAGTCCTTGAAGATGTCTGCTGCAAAGGCGATGTCGCCTGCCGTGGCCTTTGCCATGGCTGCCGCTTTCTCAGCCGTGCAAAGACTGATAGGGCTAAATGACGGCATAAATCAGAGTTCAGAGCGAATACGGTTGAATACGGTCTCGAGATAAGAGAGGAGTTGAGAGGAAGCAAATGGAAACAGTTGAGGCTTCTGTGTTCTATCAATGCCAACTCATTTCTCTTTCCGTGGTTTGGACTGAGGCCGAGAGCCACGAGTGGAGCATATCCCCATTTGCAGTTTCAGAGCTTCGGGTTTAGGTTGAGGTTTAGGGTTCGGGATTTAGGATTTAGGGGCTGGGGTTTAAGATTTAGGATTCAAGATTTACGGCTTTCGGTAAAGGATTTAGGGTTTAGGTTTAGGGCTTAGGGTTGAGGCCGGGGTTCAGGGAACAAGACACGCCAACTATAGGCAACAGGAAAGTAGTCAGGCCAAGAACGCCAGCATGGGTTTGAACCCCAGAAAGTTGGAACATGGACTTAGGATGATTAGTGCTAGGATTCCCTCTACTTTACCTTAAGGGAATGAGGATAAGGATGTTCCAACTTTCTATCTTCTACTGTAAAGAAGGGAACTCGACCCTAGACCCTAAACCCTACATTATTAGAACCCTACTATAGATCCCTTCCAGACCCCCTTTACGGAACCCCTTAAAGTAGATCCCCTTTACTGAACCCTTTAACGTAGATCCCCTTTAAGGAACCCTTTGAAGGGAACCTGACCCTAAACCCCAAAAGCCCAAAAGGGCCCAAGGTCTCCTGCGGCGCTGCAATGCCGCGACGCCGCGGAAGCCCCGAGGTGAAGATTTGGAATCTGTTTCAGGTGGTTTAGGGCTTAAGGTTTAGGGTTTAAGGTTTAGGGTTTAAGGCTTAGGGTTTAAGGTTTAGGGTTTAGGGGGGGGGGGCGGTTTTCAAAATTTGGCTTGGGGTTTAGGGTCTAGAGTTGAGGGTTGTGGGATTTGGAATTTGCTTTCAGGCCAGGGTCTTGGGGCTTTGGGATTTGGTTCGGGGATTAGGATCTAGGGTTTTTTTGGTTTAGGGAGGTGGGAAAAGGGAGGCCAGGTGTCTCGGGATTTTGGGTTTAGTTTGGGGTTCAGGTGCAGAGTTTAGGGCTTTGGTTTTTGGGGTCTGGGGGATTTAAGTTAGGTTGTTGGGGTATGGGTTCAGGGTGGGGGGTCTAGGACCTCAAGCCGGCCAGTTGAAGGCTTTGATTGAAATGACTCAGAAGATGCTCGTACCAGCTGGGAGGAAGCTCCTCAACACCGGCTAATCAGGCTTCTCGAAACGACTCCCTTTATTCAAACAACACAGAACCTAAGCCCGAAAGTCATGCTCTTTCAACACTATCCCTCACGGCTTGTTTTGACCGTTAAGGCCGAGAAAGTCGGACGCCCTTCATCGGGCAAGGCTTCAGCAGCCTCTTAAGACCATGATGAAAAGAACACAAGGCTTTTGAGATATCCTCATGAAAACACATTGTAACAAAATCAAAAATGACTCAATTCCTCTCATATTCCCTTGGAATTTTGTGATATTAAGATGAAGACTGTTTAGGAAGAGCACCACGGAAGGACAAACGAGATCGCTTCCATGATCCCTTCTCTCACTAAGGGCCGGACAACTCGGAGCCCATCTTCATCACATGGCTCCGCAGCACGCTCAGAAGCGGCTCTTCCCGATCGACGCCGTACTTTGCTTCGTAGAGGGAGTCGCTCAGCATCCTTAGCGTCTAGAGGTGCGCGCTGAAACCTTCCGCAAAAGAAGCCTCGACGCTTTTGTGAAGCGGGATGTCTTGGGAGTGGCATGGCCAAGTTGCATGATGGACGGCGAATCCTCAGTCAAGCTGACTGAAGACTTCGCGGTGCGAGCTGATGCAAATCTTTGGAGAATCTGAGTCGCGAACGAACTCGGAGATGCGGCGCGAAGTCTCTTTAACCACGGAGGTCAAGCAATCGTGGAAATGCTGTGGACCGAGTTGGCTGGCTGCCTGAGTTCTCGTGCCGAAACCCTCGACGATTGTCAAACTGAGCTTTTGCGGGTTAGTCAGTCTGTGTGAGCGTTCATGTGTGCTTGGTTTTCGTTCCTTCCCCTCCTCCTGCTCCTGCTCCTGCTCCTGCTCCTGCTCCTGCTCCTGCTCCTGCTCCTGCTCCTGCTCCTGCTCCTGCTCCTCCTCCTCCTCCTCCTCCTCGTCCTCATGCTCCTGCTGCTGCTGCTGCTGCAAAACTACTACTACCAGCACTACGACTACGACGACTACTACTACGACCGCTATTACTACCACTACTGCCACTACTATTACTATTGTGCGACGAATGCAAATACGTGTTCGCCATTATCACCTGTCACCTGTCACGAGCAGCACACCATCACTCCCCTTACTGCTGCTACCAAAAGCTTGCGAGTAAGCACAAACAGGATCATCATAGCAGCATGACACATGACCCGAAAATGTCACAACCGAAAACTACAAATTACAAGGCACTGACAAGCGAAATAATCCTAAACTCTAAACTCTAAACCCTAAACCCTAAACGATGAAGAACTCACTCTCAAACCTCAACCCCCGAAAAGCCTACAGAACTCAATCTCCACCAAGTGCTTCGAGACCGAGTTGCCCAAGCAATGTTCGACAAATGCTGGGGGCTGCCCTCGTGCATTTTCCTTTCGTCATGCACGCTGCAGGCTTTGAGGCTCCCAGGGTTTAGGGTCTTCAGCGTGTATAATGTAGGGGTCTTCATAATTAGAATGGGTTTTGGGTAGGACCCCTAAGACAGTCAAGGTAATTATTAAGGCCCCAGAGTAGGGTTTAGGGTTTGTGGTCTATCGGGATCGGGGTTGGCCAGGTCTTGCCCCCCACTATGGAGATGTCAAAACACTTGCAGAGGTTAAGTTAGCTTCGGTGTCGCTTTATCATAGCCGATTGAAGCTTCGGGCTTTTGGGGTTTACTTCAGGGCTCAGGGTTGTGGGCCTAGGGTTTAGGACTAAAGCCGTAAGCCTAGTCCACGCTGGGCCTGATGGCAGCGTCAGCCAGACAGCGCAAGAGCTGCACGTCGTCTTTGAAGTTCAACCTGTCTCCGAAGGGCCATCAAAAGATTTTCATAAGCCGCGGATCAGATCTACCGTTTAAGGTTGAGGGTTGAGCAGAAACATTTTTTGCCGGTGGTGGGGGACGAGAACCATGAGCACAGTACCATAATCACTCCGAGAAGTACTTCTGCCCTGCGTCTGACTGGCAACACTTGGTAGTGTTTGGCACCTGTGAATCAAGTCCTCGTGCTCTTTGCCCCACTGCGAGCCAAAGAGGGTTAAGGGTCTAGGCTTTACTGTTTAGGGTTTAGGGTTTAGGGGTTTAGGGTTTAGGGTTTGGGTTAGAGTTTAGCAAGTTCGAAACCCCTATTGCCCCAGCCTCGCACAGGCCCAGAGAAAGTTGGACTGATGCTGCGAGGAGAAGTCATCCACAGTGCGCTTGGCCACCCGTGCGGCTCCACGAAGGAAGGCCTCGTGCTTGTATCCTGGATGAGAACACGCAATGAATTCAGTTGAGAGATGTCGTTTGTGGTTTAAGTGTAATTTTTGCATGATGCACGCAAATTCGGAGAAATCTGTCACAAGCTCGCAGCAAAGTTAGAACACAACAGTTGCATGATTGCGCATCTCTCGACACCAAAGTTCCGAAGGCCCGAACCGTAAATTCCGCTGCGGCTCCTGCAGTGCCACAAGCCCACATGACCTGCACCAGGTTCTGCGGAACGAAGGCGTCGATTTGAGCCGCCGCTGAGTCCTCAGTCTATGGATGCATACTTCTGCAGTCGCTGTCATGGTTCGTGCGAAAACGTGTCGCTCTACTTGTATTACATTCCTGAAATAGTCATCATGGCCGTGCGGTATAGTAATCCACATATAACGGCGTTGCTGCTTTATGTATTGTTCGAATCCGAAGTGTGCTGTTGCGGTCCCTCTCTTCTTGTCGAACACCATTGCATGCTATATCTTATCTTTATATAACATGCACTTAGTCGTTGCCGTCATCATTTTCGCCACTTGGGCCCTGCCGGTTGCCAAAGACGCTGCCACTATCGCCGGTTATGTAGTGAAGGCCCTAAAACCCGAAACCTTTCAATCCCCGGCCTTCTGCGCTAATTCTGAAACCGCGCAAGCCCTGAAACCCTGGACCTTGAGTCGGGACTCGCCTTTACATTACAACCTACACCAACACATGCTGAAATCACGAATTCCCAAGCTCGAGAGATGCAAACCCAAGCCCCTTGCTTGATCTCGAATCTCCAAATACTCCAACAAAGCACTTCAATAACCGAAAACTGTTTAAAAAAACTCTAAACCCCTAAACCCTAGACCCTAAACCCCAACCCCTACTAACCCTGAACCCTTAACCCAACTCCCTAAACCCCAAACCCCTAAACCCCTAGACTGCAAATCCCTTCCTCTTCAAAAACAAATTCTCACCGGGCCCCCGGGCGCAGAGGGCCTCGAAGGCGGCTTCGGCCTTGAAGCTGAGCTTCGCCAGGCCCCAGGAGATCAAGGCCTCTGGTTTTTACTTAAGCTTTCAGGGTCTAGGGTTGCTTTATTGGGGCTTCTTGTCTCCAGTGCCCCGAAGGGTCTGAGAGGTTCAAGGTTTAGGGTTTTGGGTTTATTGTAAGGCTTTAAGGCTAAAGGGTTCCGTAAAAGTTCAGGGTTTTGTAGGGCTTTTCAAGGGTTCCTGAAGGGTTTAGGGTTTAGGGTGTAGAGATCAGAGCCTCTTGTTTTTGTTTGAGGTTTTAAGGTTCAGGCTTTAGGTTTTCTATTTTAGGGTTTTGACGACTAGGGGGTCCTTAAGAATTTATGGTTTACGGTTTAGAGATCAGAGCCTCTGGCAGTCTTTGCCTTGTCGCTTCCGCTTGAAGTTTTTAAGGGTTGGAAGTTAAGCCCGAGCCTCTTCAAGTTCATCGTCATCCTCTTCTTCGGCCTCTGCCACAGGATGAGGCCCCAGAGCCCACTGGAGCACAGAAGCAGGTTTCCTCAAAGGTGCATCCTGCTTCCTCAGAATCAGCAGGTCCATAATGACAACTGCTGAACGCAACGCACAATCATCCATGCCCCTGCAGGTGATGTCCAGGTGGCACCCTGTAATTGCAGCAAACTGCTCAAATGGTGCTTTAAAGCCTTCAAGGCTTCTGGTGGAACCCAAGGCGTGGAACTGTGAGACGCTACAAAGTCTGTTGTCCAGAAAGACACAAAACGTGCGAAAGGAGTTGGGAGCTGCCCCCTGAGTTGAAGATCCTGGACGGTGCAGCACGGGATTTGCAAAGTGACCGCACCCATGACTGCAGCTAAGGCAGTGGGCCCAACATGCACCACATGCCCTTGCCATTTATCAATCCCTCAGTGGCACTCCTGCTCGGGGCCAAGGCAAACTTATCGTCTTCAACCAGCTGGCCCAGGAGCTGGCCAGTTGGATCACTTGCAACTTCCTCCTGGGACAAGAATTTGGCCAGGTGATCCAGGAAAGCAGCCCTCATGGTTCTGATGGTGGCTGTAATCCTGGCTTCTTTGGTTGAAACCTCCGGCTCTTGGCTCTGTGCTTGAACAAGGGCAAGGCACATCTCCTGCGTCACAACTCTGTTTTTGCAGTCTTGCCCAGCCCATTCCAAGATAGCCCTGCAGGCTATGCATTTGGAAGGGTAATAGCCAGGACCCAACCAGGGAGGTACAGGAAGACAACCCACTCCTTCAAGTCTTTGGTTCCTTTAGTCTGGAAAGCCACTTGCTCCATCAGGATCTTTTCTTGCAGGGTGGCAAGGGCTTCCTGGTCCAGTTCATGCCTGGCTGGTGCAATTCTGGGTTCATCAAGTTCAGGATCCTCCTCTGGCTCCTCTTCCTCAGCCAGTTCCTCTGCAGCATTCTGGTGTGCATGTGCCATGCCTGCTGGTGGCATGGGTGCTGTGTTGCATGGGGTTTTAAGGATTCCTGAAGTGTTCTATAATACCTCGAGGATACCGTAAGGGTTACTACAAGGTCTCAAGAAATCAAAGCTTCTGGCTTGTACGGCTTTGGGATTCCTTTAAATGCTTTATAAGGAAACTATATGGCCTCTTTGGCTGTTGATAGGGGGCTTTAGGTTCCTGAAACGATTTGTAAGGGTTCTCCAAGGTTTAGGGTTGTAGAGTGTAGGGTCTACGGTTTAGGGATACTTTCAGGGCTCTGTACGATTACCAGGCCTTGTCGGGTTTACTTCTTCGTCTTCTTCTGCAGACGAGCTTCAATGTTGAGGGGCTACTGATTACTACTACTACTACTACTACTTCTTCTTCTTCTTGCAGACGGGCATCAATGTTGAGGGGCTGGAATTCATTGGACCTTGCAGTGATCGCACCGATGGCCATGCGCAGGAACTCGTCGATCGAGGGATCATCCTTGTAGGACACTGTGGCGATGGCCTGAAGAAGAAGGAGCCCTTTAAAGGAACCCTTAGAGTACCCTTATAGTAACCCTTTAGAGGAACCTAGGGCTTAGGGTTTAGGGTTCAGGGTTTAGGGGTTTCGGGAATAGGGTTTTGGGCTTCCGGCTTAAGACTTACGTATGAGGGTTTGAGTTAACGGTTTATATTCAGCATGCTAAGAACTAGAGCTCAACATCAAGATTTAAGGCTTCTCAAAGGGATCCCTTAAAGGAACCCTTAAGGTACCCTTAACGGGAATCCCTTAACGGAACCCTTAAGGTACCCTTAAAGGGAATCCCCTTGACGGAACCCTGGGGTTTTCGGGATTCTCTTGCTCAGCCAAGAGTCCCAGACGATCGTCGCCATATTCTGCCCAGTGAAGCTTCGCATGATCTCCTGGGTTGATGCTAAGTTCCCATGTAAGGGTTCAGTGTTTAGGGTTTGTGATTTGGGGTTTCGGGTTTATGATTTTGGGCTTATGATTTCGGGTTTAGGGCTTAGGGTTTGGGGTGGGATGTACGGCAAATGATAAGGCTCCATTACTATGGCAACTTAATTCATTCAAGTTACCTAAGCCCTAAAGCCCTAAACTAAACCCTTATACGAACCCTTGAAGGAACCCCAAACTATCGTAACTTGATTTGAAGCTCCTTAACAGCAACCCAGTCTCCATCGATCGCCTGGCAATGTAGGCCATCAGGTCCGGATCGTAGTCCCCGCGAGTGGCGAGGGCCCAGGCGATCATGGAAAGCTCTGACGGAGCATACTCCTGCTCATGAGGCTGGAGAGCTTATGTTCAAAACGACGAGCTCCCAGAACAGAAACAGATCCAAAAACCTTACAAAAAGCAAAGAGAGCCCAGAGCGGCCCGTCGCTGCACAATGCCCGAAATCCCAAGCCCGAGACACAACGTCCCTGAAAGCATGCATCCGAGGCCTTCAGCCGCAAGACCCGGCTGCGGATGGCGTTCTTCCATTCGTCTCCCACCGGATATGCTAGTTTCGTGAAGGCCCAGTTAACCTCAGCTAGGCTCTGGGGTTTAGCGTCGAGGATTTACGGCTTGGCTCTCGGGTTGACAGCTAAGAATCGGAAAAGCATTTGCGGTGGTACTGGTACAGGCAGTGGTAGTGGTGGTGGTCGCAGTAGCAGCAGTAGTAGTAGTAGCAGTCGTCGTCGTAGTAGTAGTAGTTGTTGTAGCAGTAGTAGTAGATGCTGTAGCAGTAGTCGTAGTAGTAGTAGCAGCAACAGAAGTCGCAGCAACAGCAGCAGGAGTGGTAGCAGGAGGAGGAATTCTGAGGTTCGGTACTTGACAGCTTGGTGCCTGAAGTCCCTAAAGCCGGAGTTTAGTGCTAAGACTACTAAAACTTGACGGACCCACGACGACTGCCATGATGATCAGTGGCGCTATGAGCTATGGTGCTACAACTTGCTCTTTGATGTTCTTCCCGCGCTGCTCCCATCCCTCCTCTTCCTCACCCACCTCTGACGGCAGTTCATCTAAACCCTAAACCCTAAACAGTACACCCAGTGGAACTGCCACCATCTGATTGCTCCCTGAGCAGCGATGGCAAGCTCCTGAGTGGTAAAGTCTTCCAGGCGACGGAGAGACTCCTGCCTGGAGTGCCAGCTGCAATGACTGATGAGAATCCTACTACTTAGGGTACTGTTTCTGGGTAGGGTACTCTTCTAAGGTACTACTATGTAGGGTACCTATAAGGATCCTACTACTTATAGTACTGCATTAGGGTAGGGTGCTATATTAGGGTGCTACTATGTAGGGTACTTATCAGGAACCGACTAGCTAGGATCCTACGTATGAGGGTCCTATGCTAGGGTCCTAGTATTTCGGGTAGTATATCACGGTCCAATATTAGGGTACTATATTAGGGTCCTATACAAGTAAGTTTCGAAAGTAGGTTTCCAACGAACACACTCTTCAAACCAAGAGCAGCACCGAGACTAATTAACACTTTCGTCAGGGCTAGCGAAGAGTCGTGCTAGATTTTCCTGAATAACCACAGTGGACTGCAGGGCTCGCTGACCATAACCGGAGAGTTGCAAACATCGGCTTGTGCCAGCAACTGTCAGTTGCACCGTCTGAATATGTGTGCTCCATCCAGGTCCTGACACTCCTATCTACCCTTCCAACCTGGAGCAGATTTCTTCAAAAAAGTTCTGTCGCAAGCACTACACAGGGCCAAGTCGCAGCAAGTCTGCGTGCAGGGCATCAGAGCGGACGCCTGCATGAGCTACGAACAAGTGCTCTCTTCTGCACTGCATCCTGCCTGAATCCTGCATCTGAGACCTTGAACTCATTCAAGCTCCACGACTCTGGGACGCAGAATTTGGTATTGACGTACCAAAGCAATTGACGGCAAGAGCAAGCGGCCTAGCGTTGCGTTTGCCCAGATCAAATTGGAGATGTTCTGCACTCCGAAGCTGTCCTTGCTTAGGACAGGCCAACAAACGATGGGACTGCAACATGCATGCCGTGCGTCCGTGCCTGGAGTTTCAAGGGTAGCTATAGTTGGTGCTATATATAAGTCCCATACTAGGGGTTATTATTAAACCCCCACTTCTAACTACCCATGAACCTCCAGGTGTGACATGGGAAGGGAGCGCTAACGATGCTAACGGCGGGCTGATGTCTCGGTGCGAGAAGTCTCCTGCTCTGAACGGAGCCACCGTGCCCGGAACCAACTCCCAACAAGCAAAAGAACCCGATGTCAACAAAGTCCGCCGGATTGCATCAAGCTTCGTGATGCAGCCCGGTCAGAAAGCCTAAACGCTAAGCCAAAGACCAAACCCTACACCCTAATGCCCCGAAACCCCCGAAACCTTAAACCTTAAACCCTACCTTAAACCCTAAACCTTAAAGCCGGGCAGCCAGCTTCTTGCGCGATTCCACCGCAATGGCCGAGAGGAGGGCCTCGTCCCTCCTTCCCACAGTGGCCTGGGTCGTGATGCTTGCAGAGACCCTTCAATCGGGTTTAGGGTTTAGGGTTTAGGGGTCCCAATATAATTTAAGGTATATACTCCTCAATCAAGGGGTTTTGGAGTCTCCTGGGTCGTGATGCTTGCAGAGGCCCGGTCTTTTGCACTCAGGGCTGTTGAATTCTATCGTACTTCACGCGTATATCTTGCTGTTTAAGGGTTTTGGCTGTTTGAAGTTTAGGGTTTAGTTTAGGGCTCAAGGTTTAGGGTTGGTTAAGGTTTAGGGCTTAAGCCTTTTTGCTGTTTTTATTGTTTTTTTTTTTTTTTGTGGGCTCTTTGCTGTTTGGGGTTTAGGGTTTAGTTTAGGGCTCAAGGTTTAGGGTGGTTAAGGTTTAGGGCTTAAGCCTTTTTGCTGTTTGAAGTTTAGGGTTTAGTTTAGGGCTCAAGGTTTAGGGTGGTTAAGGTTTAGGGCTTAAGCCTTTTTGCTGTTTGAAGTTTAGGGTTTAGTTTAGGGCTCAAGATTTGGGGTGGTTAAGGTTTAGAGCTCAAGGTTTAGGGTGGCTAAGGTTTTTTTTGAAGGGCTCCTTTTTGGGTCCGGTGGTGGCTTCGGGCAGAAGGTTTCGGTTTCATAGATTCGTCTCAGGGTCGGAACTTGGCTCAGGTGTGGCAGGGTCCGGCTCTGGTTCTATAGGGGCCTTCATAATTAGAGTAGGGTGTTGGTGTATATCATACTATAGTTATAATAGGGAACCCCCAAAATAGTATAGGAAAGTATCTAGGCCGTTATACTATCCGAAAGTTGGTATGCCAAGCGATCAGGAACACGGCTCGGCCCACGAAATAGAAGTATAAGACCTGAAGGAAAGACCATAGGCATCTACGGAGAAGTGCGTCTAGTGTTGAGGCATCGGGGTTCAGGAAAATGTCCGCATCCTTGCAAAGTACCAACCCAATGAGGCGCGGCATCTACTAGCATTGGCATGTCAACCCATCTGCAACACCCTGAAACATAAAAGAATGTACCGTTGCAGGCAATCCAGGACAACCTCTTATGCCCCACGAGGCCTGCACTGGACACCCTGACTCACAGCTGGACCCCAAGAACTGAGAGCATCGGGTCACAAGCACCAGAGACAGATTCCCTTCACCCTGAACCCGGATTTTCATAAAACTCGCAAACCAAGTTTGGACTTACGGATCCCTTGAAATGCGTGAAAACCCCCGTAAACCCTGAGCCCTAAACCCCAGAAGGCCGAGGGACGAAGGACCACGCCACGATCGCCAGGCCCTGAGGATCCAAGTCCTGCCGGGATGACGCGACAATTTCGGGCTTTCGGGCTCAGGGTTCCGGGTTTTTCTTTTTTTAAAGTGCAATGGGCCTTTTCTGCAGAGGCTCAGCCGTCATTTCGGGGGTTAGGGTTTGGGGCTACGGGTGAGGGTTTAGGGGGTTTAGGACGTTTAGGGGTTCCAGGCTTTAGCTTCAGGGCTCGGTTTAGGGCTTACGGTTGAAGGTTTGGTGCCTGGGGCTTTAGCCCTTTGGGCCTTCGGGCTATGGGGGTCAAGATTTGGAATCTAGGGACCAATGTTGAGGGTTTGGAGTTCAGGACTTCGGTGTTTCGTGAATTTTCAGTTCTAGCTCTGGCGTCTAGGTCTTAGGTCTTAGGCTTCAACATTCGGTGCTTCGTGGCATGCAGCAGGGATGATCACGATTTTGGCTTCCATCGGCTTGAAGGTCCGAGGAGCTTGACTACGGCTTTGGCTTCAGGCTCTTCAGGGCACTTGCGGCTGCGTTTACGGTAGTGTATGGGCATGAGTGAGGACAGTAATATAGCGGCCATATTCATTAGCATAGGATTTTGGGGTGTACCATACAATAAACTAATTCTAAACCCTAAGCCCTATTCATTTAAGGAACCCCGAAATAGTATAGGTAAATATCGCAGCCTTAGCCTGGGAGACGGCGTCTTTCCGGATAGACCGGTCCTGGATGATGCTCTGGGCACGCATGGAGAGCCTCGTGAAAATCTCGTCGTCCTTGCACTGCATCTTCGCCTCCAGCAACAAAGTTAACATCCAGTAGCAGCAGTAGTAGCAGTAGTATTAGTAGCACAGAAGTAGTAGTAGTAGTAGTAGTAGTAGAAGTAGAAGTAGTAGTAGTAGCCGCCACAAGTGCTCAAGCGGCCGCGCTGAATGAGAGGTCTCGAACAGGCTTGGGGCGCAACTGCTGTGCTAGAGGTTCCAACCGGGCCCTTTTCTGAACAGTAAAGGTTTGTGCCTCCTTCTACGCCATGGTCCTCTCCCTTTTCTCACAGGAGCTGCTTTGAGCCGCCAGGTCCCAATTCCTGGGCCCAGACTCTGTTTAAAACATTGCAACACTGGGTAGGCGGTAGGGTTTCCACCTCCGCGCGGTGGAGGGAGTCATTAGGCTTCTGTCTCTTGACGAAAGTAGCGGATGGCGCAATTGCCAGTGCACTCACAAAACTTTGCATCTCTTCGTAAGAATTCGTTCAAGACAGCATGTAGAAGGACAGTCCGTAGTGACGGGCCCGTACCATACCGAGGGCAGGTTCTGACACCTACCCTGGTTGATCGTCTGGGGGTACGCCCCCCACCCACTCGAAGAGAGCTTCAGTCACAGACTGCTGACTCCCCTGCATATGGCACAGCCTCCCGCAGGGCAGGACGGTTGGAAAGATCCATTCGAGTTCTTTCGTGGAACGCGGGACACCTAGGCCAACAGCAATGGGGCGAACTCAAAACGTGGCTAGCAGCTGAAGCCTCTCATCACTGTGACGTCCTCATATTACAGGAAACGCACTGGACTGAGACCAGTGAATTCAGCGTTTCTGGGTGGTACTGTATCTCCTCAGCCTCGGAGTCTACCAAACCAAACACCCGGCCTAAACAAGCTGCGAAGCGTAACACTCGGCAAGAACCGCGAGCTCCATCCACGACTCGCGCTGATGGAGTCATGATCCTATTCTCGCCCAAGTTCGTCCCCAAGAGCTTACGCTGGAAGGAGTGGAGCCCGGGTAGGGTCTTAGAAGCTCGTGCAGACATTGCAGGTACTCGGCTGGTTGTTGTCGCGGTGTATCAACACGCTTGGTCTTCTGCCAAGACCATCCAGTCCAATAAGGATGACCGTGCTAAGGTACTATCTGTCATGTCCAAGGTGATCAAGCAGGTGCCTAAGAGGGACTCCCTTATTGTAGCAGGTGATTTTAACACTTCCTTGCGTCCGAGCTCTCCATTGGTGGGAACGCACGTGAAGCCACCCACTGAGGACCGCCCTGACGAATCCAACTTGTTTAACCTGCTGCTCAGGTTGCGTTTGGTTGCCCTTAACACCTGGCAATGTGACCATATAGCTACCTTCTCACAAGGAGGAGTGGAGTCGCAAATTGACTTCATTCTAACCAAAGAATCTACGGCGGGAGGCAAAGCAAAAAGGTCAGCCCCCTGGGTGGACTGCCCGTTGGGAAGCTGGAAGAAAGGAGGGCATTACCCGCTTAAAGCTGACGTACCCCTCCAGCATCACTGGCTGCTCCCATCCCATAAGCCCAGCACGCGCCGTTACGATTCACTAGCTCTACAGGCCTCGGTCAGAGAGGAGGACGAGACGGCAAAGGCACTGCACAGCTGGATAGCTTCCAGAATTGACACCTGCCAGGACCCCAAGGCATGGAATGCGTTGCTTTTGGAAGGTGCAGAACGCTTTTTTCCAAAAATTCCCAAACGAAGACCGATCCCGCTGGAGTTGGAAACCCGTCGCATGTGGCGGGCCCGCACCCATGATAGGGTTGCGAACACAGCTCCCTCAGCACAGCTGATCGAATCACCTCAAGCAATGGCACAGCCTCCTAATCAGAACACGCCACGTCCGCCGGACACCGAAGCTGAGCTGGCGCAAGTGGCACACCGCCAGGCTGTGAAACAAGCAAAGAAAGATAGGATTGCGAGTTTCATATCGGAGGTGGACGCGTGTCTGGCTGAAGGTGACCAACATATCTCCTTTCAGACCCTCAAAAAGCTGCAGCCTTGGCAGCCTGCGCGCAGAGCTCAGCTAAAGGACAACACAGGACATTTGCTGGGTCCAGCGCAGGAGCTAGCAGCCCTCAGGGACTATGCCAATCAGGTATTTGCGGCCCACCCTCCGTTACGGACAATGCATGGAGCTTTCCCTGTTTTGGAGCCGCCCAAACTAGCAGCTCACATACATTCCATCAAGCCTAATAAAGCTGTTCCTGACGGAGCGGCACCTGCGGCTGTGTGGAGACTGTGTAGCGACATCGTTGCACCGATCCTCTCAAAACACGTAGCATCCAAGCAGGCCGAGGACAGCCTTGAATCCGACCTCGTAGACGCTGATCTCTGCTTAATTCCCAAGCCGGGCAAGCCCTCTGACAAACCAGCAAACTTGAGACCCTTGGGTATCCTTAGACCTGACGCTAAGGGACTGGCGGGAGCGGCCAGAGAAGCGCTTCAACCACTGACCCTCTCGTTCCTCAAGCACATGCCACAGTTCGCTTATCTACCAGGTCGGGGGCTGTCAGACGCGCTAGAACGCGTGGTGCATCACTTGCGTGAGGCTCGATCCCTGTTAGAACAGGCCCACCCCACGAGACATGCCTTGCAACAAGGCACACAGGCCCCAGCCTTAGTTGGCGGCCTCACCTTTGCTCTTGACCTAAGCCAAGCGTTCTCGCCAAGAGATCATCGACCTTCTTCAGAGAGAAGGGGCCGATCAGGACACAGTCCACCTCGTTCAGGCTCTACATGACGGGTCTCGTTATGTCCTTCACGCGCAGGGAGATTCCACCTCTGTTGAAACCACAGCAGGCATAAAACAAGGATGTAAGCTCGCCCCCACTCTCTTCTCGTTCCTTACAGGTGACCTTTTCCGCTCTCTGGTTGACCTATTCGGTGCTGAGCAGGTCTTGAAATTTCTGACAGGATACGCCGATGATCTCACGCTCCATCGGACTATCCGCTCTGACAAGGACCTCAGGGCCATTCATGCGCTCATCGCAGCGTTACTTGAGGAGGTCCGCAAACACCGCCTACGAGTCAACATTAGCAAGTGCGTCATCTTGGTGAAGTTAGCGGGTAGAGAGTCCCAAAACGTGATGAACAAACACGGCTGCTGGATCACAAACTCCAAGGGCGAGCAGGTTCGAGGATGGCGCATCGGGCCCAATAAATCGTTCCCCGCCTTCCAGTGGGTTTCCTGTAGCAAGTACCTGGGGGTTATGATCTCCTACAACAACTTCGAGCTGCAGACCTTGCATTACCGCATAGGGGAGGCAAAGCAAAAGCTGCATCAAGTCCGCCAATTTGTCTACAATCGTAGGTATGCGAGCACCATGTCGCGACTCAAGGTTTGGCAAAGCACAGTCCTGAGCACACTGACGACAGGCCTCTCAGACGTCGGACTAAGTGAGGAGTCGGCAAAGCAGCTACGTAGTTGGCATGCTTACAAGGTGCGATCAGTGCTGAACTTGCCAGCACATACCAGCCGCATCACCACTAAGGATCTCTTCCAGCTTTATAGCATTCAGGACCCGGTTCAAGCGATGCAGATCAAGCTAAGGAAGAGACTCCGCAAACTTGAGCGACGCGCAGCCAGAAGCCCAGACATCACAACCGAGCACTCGGTTTTGCAAGTCATCCGGGACAAGCTGTACTTCCTATCACAACTCCCTGAAGCAGCTGAACACCCTGTAGCCCTACATGCGTGCACACTCTGCGATGCCTCCTTCGAGACAGCAAATGGACTACATTTACACAAGTCGCGAGTGCATCCAGCCAGCATTGACCGATTTGTACCATCAAGCTTCGATCGACAACTCCACGCGGTGGATGGGATGCCGCAATGCGCCGCTTGCATGCGCAAATTTCATCAATGGAAAGGTCTTCGTGACCACTTGTTGTCGGGAGCATGCCCGGAACCCCAGAAGCTTCGAACTCTGAACGCGACGGACAAACTCTCAAGTCATCCTGAGGTAAGGATCCTTTCTCAGCTGCGACAGGACATTGCTCAGCTCCCACAACATCGAATAGCGGTGCTCTCAAAGACAGCGGAGGCCCGGGTCCTGATCCATCGGTGCCTCACGTGTGACTTCTGGACTTTCGATCACACCAAAGTCAAGTCACACTTCCGTCAGGCGCATCCTAAGGACTGGTCAAGGCTACACAAGCGTGCAGTCTCTATATGCCAGGGCTTCTCGCCCCACCTTGCCAAGGGACACCCGTGCTCCTTCTGCGGTTACAAGGTTTACGATCGCAGACTGCACCCGGAGCAATGCCCCGTGCTTTATCAGGTTAGCACGCAGTGGCTGCGAGGGCAACCGGAGGTGGAGGAAGCTGTTATGGCTCCCCCCTCCAAACCCCAAGAGAAGTCACTAGCCCACTTCTTTAGGGCACGGTCGAATGGCACAGCCTCAAATCAGTCGAGCACAGCTCGTCAACCCCCGACAGACAAGCAGGAGTCCATTTCGCAGTCCCCTGGACATGCGGTAATGCGACCAGAAGGAGTGCACCAGCGCGCTCTGACTAACACGTCAAACTCGTGTTACGCTAATGCTCTGTTCCAGGCTCTGCATCAGATCTCGAGTTTTGGGTATGATCTAGGTGCTTTCCAGTCCGTCCTGCCCCATCTAGGAGACGAGAGAGCCCCCAGATTACTGAACCTGTTCGGCCTGTTTGAATTTCGCCACGCCATTTCAGGCTGGCGACTGGATGGCAGACAGCACGACGTTTCAGAGCTGCTTCTACATATGCAGTCTAAGCCTTTAGGCTCCCTTCAACAAACACAGTGGCAGGGTCGTACAGATGGTGAGGTTGAGGATTCAGACGTGGGAGTCAGCCCTCTCCTCCTTCCCCTCCCGTCCGGCCCCTTGTCATTATCGACTTGCTTACGGTTGTGGGAATCCCAGACCTTTACCCGTGCGCTTGTCTGGTCACCTGAACTCCTAGCGATTGTGATTTGCCGCTGGCAGGATGGAGTCAAGAACACTCAGCCATGCCTTTGGACAGGCCGCGCCACGGTGCCC